AGTCCTTACTAGGTCACATAAGAACCTGGGGTCCATCATAAGTCATCTCTCTACCACAGGTGGATAAAAAATCACTGTCCAAAGAAGGTTGGGACCAAATGTGTCTTGGAAGTAAAGGCTCCCACTAGGTGATAAGTCTTGTCAGATGGTACACAAGAAGGAAATCAAGATCAAGAATGGATAAGTTCCTTAGACGATCAGGAAAAGAAAGGATATTCCAATCGGGCATTTCTTATTGAGAAGAGGTCTTAAGAAACAAATCTTTGAAAAAAGCTGAAAATAGTTTTTCAATTTTTACTTTTTCATTTTCTTGTTGTCTACTTAGACATTTTTAGATATTCCCTCCCCTTTTTTTAACCCATCCTTTTGTAGTTTCCTGTATTTCAGTGGCTTGGTCAAAAAAAAAAATAATCTAAATTTAATTAAAAAATGTTTAAATTTATAATTAAAGCTTTTATTTTATTTTTAAATTGAAATTTATATTTTATTTTTTAATTAAAATTTTATTGATTAAATATTTTTATTGGAATTTTTAATTGTTTTTTCTTTTGTTTTTGTTTTTTTTTATTTTTTTTTTATTTTAATTTCTAAATTATTATAAAATTTGTATTTAATAATATCCATTCTATTTTTCTTAGACTAGTATCATATAAAATTTTTAATTGTAATTTACGAAAAAACTGATTTATAGGTCTGTAGTGCAGTGGTTAGCACTTCGTAGGTCATATCACAAGGTCACTAGATCAAATCCTCCAGGTGGCAACTCCTGACGCTGATAGATCTATCCTATTGGTATAACTGTAAACTAACCAATGCTTCTGAATATAGCTCTGATCACTGGTCAAATAAGATTTTAGATGTGGTCACAGAATGGTCTATATAAAGATTGTGATACAGTTAAATGTCTGAAATTGGATAGGATTATCCTAACACAACCACATTACCAGAAAAGAACTGTTAATAAGAAGAGTAGATATTAAACCGGTAGCATATCACTGAAGGAAGGAATGGTAAATCAACTGAAGAAAGCCCCAGTTCCCTGCCTTGGTGTTGAGACATCTGTTCAAGAATTCAAGTATATGGCTGTGCCAGGTTTCACAAACTTGACTATAAGGAGGTCTTGATAGAAGAAGAAATCTGCGGACCACTCCGAAGAACTAAGAAATTCGAAAAAGTCTAGGATAAAAAAAATTCGATAGCCTGATAACCAGAATACTCCTAATATAAATAAAATTGTTCTAGAAAAAATTAAAAAGAAATTGCATATCTTTCCAAATAGTTAGTAGTTATATATAGATGTAAAATAGATATATTTACTTATATAGATAGGTTTACTTCAAAAATATATAATTACTTGTTGACAAATATGTAATAAGGAGTTTATACAGATCCCTCAATTATGATTTTGAGGAAAAGGTCTGATATATCTGCAAATTTTGTATAGCATATATGTTAATAAAAAACGTGGCTCAACAAAACACTAGAAATCAAAGCTCAAAATGATTTAAATACAACTAAGAACATTTTTATACAAGACATACCTACCATTAACCTTTCAACAACTAAACCTTACTGAATCTATATAACAAAAGAAAGTATTTCAACCATTGGTAAAAAACAACAAAAAATAGATCAAAACACTATCAAATATAGATACTACATACAAAATCCAGAAAGTTCTTCATTGGAGGCATGCAAAAGATATACAATTAATATCTTGGAAGATTAAATAGTAGAATGCATCTTTATGGCCTCCAAACAATAGCCTATTTCAATACCAGTTTATAAAAGCAGGTCTTTAACAAGGAAAAGCCATTACATAAAAAGAGAAACAACTTGATAAAATAGAGTCTCTCCTAATACCCTATCTATAACACTTTCTAAATATACACATCCCCTTCCAACTTAACAGGAAGCAAATATTAAAATCCACCCTTGAAAAAGCACACATTTACATCACAAGTATTTGAAAAAATTGCTCAATAGCTTTTTAGAAAGCTTAGAAACACTAGCAACAATCAAAGGAAAGCTAGAAACTTATGCCATCTTTAAGATATTCACTGATGGCTTCCTAAACAATTTCAACAGAAAATACTATATGGGTCTGGGTGAATCATTATTACTCCAGACTTAAAGGAGTACACCTTTTAAGGACAAATAATTATACACCCATCATCCACTAGAGCAGAAATCGCAGCGATCCTCACAGCACTTCATGTCATATCAGAACACAGCTCAGTAACCATATACACAGACAGTCATGCAGTGATCAATGACATCCTCAAGACCCAAAAAAAAGATCCAAGAAAAATTATAAAAACACAAAAAAATTCAAACTTCCTGCTCCAAATAACAGGCCTATGTAACCAGAACCAAATAAAACTATCTCTATACGAAATAAAGGGACACTTGGAAATTGAATACAATGAACAAGCAGACCATCTGGCACAGATTGACAGATGAAAAGAAATGAGACCGGGTGAAAAAGTAATTGAGATCCTAAGAACACAACATGGTTCATTAGATATAGTTCTCCAATAGAACACCATCCCCACAGAAATTTCTATAAAAATGATCACAAAGAAGCTTACCCAAGCAATTCACCTAGCAAAATGGAGACTCCTCAATTGAACAAGATGCAACTATAATGAAAGAATAATAAAAGAAATACACTGGCAGACAACTACTATCCTATTACAACCAACCAAAATGAGCAACCATCACATTGACTGGAAAGACCAAAAACTCAGAAAATTCTGCCTCAACATCTGAAATGACGAATTGCCAACCAAAAGTAAATTACATGCTAGAATTTCCTCATATATAAAGACAACAAATGCTTCAAATACCATTAACCAGAGACTAGTACACATCTGTTTATCTGCAATTAACTCAGATTCAAAACTGAAGAGTTTTTAATCAATACTGTAATCACTCATGTCAAAAGCTACACAACACAAGAAGAAGAAAAAAAGTTTGAAAACAAATTTATAAGCAAAATGAGTTGAAGATACAAGAATACTTGATAGCAAGTATCAGATGTATCTTCTTCAAGGAGCTAGTCTTCCATATCCAAACTGCCATCTCAGATAAACTGGACAAAAAGACCTGCCTTACTCAAATATGCACTGATATAATCAATTTCCTATACAAAATATTGACAGAAAGATGTGAAACATTTCAGAAGTAGAAGGCCACTATGGGCATTACAAAAAAGAAAAAGAAACAAGCAAAATATGAGTCCAAAAAGGAAGATCCAGTATTTAACTCAAGGAAAAGATACATAAAAGATCAATATATCAGGCCGGTCAATGACTTCATGGATCAGTGGCTCACAAACATCATAGACAACTCCTTTATATTTAAATTTATTTCAGCACAAGTCCAGCCTTGGCAGGTTAGCCCCCTCACAAGGGGTGGCAAAAGCCGCAAGGTGAGTACTTCCATAAAGGGAATCCTCTATTGAGTTTTATTTGATAGAAAACAGGTATTAAGTTCTAGGGTAGCCTTCCTATGTAATTTTGCTGCAAATATACAAATAAAACAAGGCTGAGCCAGTGTTTAAAAAAAAAAAAATTTTTTTAAGAAAAAACTTTCAATTAACTAAGAAAAAATTTTTGAAAAAAATTATATCAGTATTACTTCTTATTTTAAATTGTAATAAACAGATACTGTATATACATTATGTACACTATATATTAAAAAATAAAAATAAAATAAAAATAAACGAATATTTATAAAATTAATTTATTGCCTTGTTGTTTTAATAATATATCACAGTATATTATTGACATTATGTCAAAATTTTTTAAAAAACAATTTTTTGAAATTAAAATAAGTTTTTAAGTTTGTAAATAAAGTATTTTAGAATACAACCCCCGTATATGAACAAAATAAATCCACTCTTTACGCACATGGGCGACATCACATAACATCGCATGAATAACATTTTCACAGCAATATAATTTAAATTTCGAAAACCAGATCTACGATGATTAAATTATACGTAATTGATCCTGTTAACGTATTTTATACAATAACAATAATACTGTCCTGAAAAACCAAAGTACAGCTTTTGGTAAACACCTGTGTTCACCGTGTGTGTACAATCTAATTTCTATTGAGCATTAGAAACGACTTGCTGCTGTGGGTTAACAAATTGTTGCTGCGGATTAGGTGGCAATTGATTAGTAAATTGTTGCGGTTGCTGCTGCAGGAATTGCTGCCATTGTTGGGATTGCTGCTGGTTGGACTTCTGCTCCATGTCATTATTAACAATGGTATTCCCTTTCTTAGTGTTAAAATAAATCCTTAAGGACAATATCCCCCCTAATAAGAATGTTACCAAAAGGATCCAACCAAACACATTTGAAGCGATATAGGCTCCGCAAACAGTGTCTAAATCAGAAATATCTGACACTGCGTAAATTCCTAAATGATCATGTTTCTTTTCAAAATTATTGTAATCACTGAGGTAATGGCAAATGGAGTTGTCTCCCTGGTAAACCCAATACAGATTCGTGAAAACTTTTAAAAAAGAAAGAATTTATTGGTTAATTGTTTTTTTATTTATTTATTTTTTAAATCATAATCGTGATCCATAATCGATTAAATGAGTTATGCATACCTTCAGTGATCCACAATACGATGAAAACGCTAAAAGAAAAGGCTTGTATATATGATTAAAGAAAATATACAATAGCATTAAAAATATTTAATTACGCTTACGAGTCAAATCCAAAAGAATACAATTTGTCTCTCTTTTCCCAAATATATCCTAGGAATAGCAAAGTCGAATATGCAACTATATTGTGGAAAATAATTAATTAGTAAATTATAATTTGAAGGTTTGTGAGTTTTCGCGCAAAGAAACCTACCAAGACCTAGAAAGGTAAGCAATACAACAATAAACACCCATATACTGTAACTGTTCCTGATTTTCCGAAGCGATCGCTTCCGGTAAAGTATTGGGAGGTACCATCCCATAATAATTCTTAACCTCGAGGCTGGCGTGGTCGTCATAAAAGGAAATAAAATTTATGGCCTGTATTATTTCTA